CAGTTTTTCACCCTGCGCTACTCTATACACTAGCCTACCTCTATACACTACCCTATACACTAGCCTACCTCTATACACTACCCCTACCTATGCACTACCCTACCTCTATACACTACCCTACCTCTGTACACTACCCCTACCTATGCACTACCCTACTATAACCCTGTGGCGGAGCAAAGGGCTATAGTTCTAGCGCTAACACCCACCATAGTGTGTAGCATAGGAGAGTTTGCGAGCAATTCCAGTGAGAAGGCTGGTGTGCATTTGATCGTCTGCTGATCGTCACATCCAAGTTGGGCGTGGTCATCACTTACTAGGTCTCATAGGGTCTATGTCCACCAGGGTACTGCCGGAACGTACCCTGGTCACTATTTGATATGGTTAAGGTTAGGATTAGGGTTAGGGTTAGGGTTAGTGTTAGGGTTAGGGAGTAGGCGTAGGCGACTCCCTAGACTCGTTAGTGGAGTAGGCGAGGTACGGTCCGGCATATTAGATAGTACCAGGGTACGTTCCGGTATACCGGACCGTACCCAGGGTACGTTCCGGCAGTACCCCGGGGGACATAGACCCTCTCAGCCTTACTAGGAGGGCTGCTCTTGCTGCTCACAGTTCGATCTCACAGGTAGCTTACGTAATCGTTAGTCAGGTATTGAAATCTCTGTCAGCCGTGCATCAGCTTGCTAGCTTAGAATCTCTGTCTTTCTCTTTCTCTCTGTCTCTGTCTCTCCAGCTCCCTCCCCCCCCCTTCTCTCTCTCTCTCTCTCTCTCTCTCTCTCTCTCTCTATTCTCTCTCTCTCTCTCTCTCTCTCTCTATCTCTCTCTCTCTCTCTCTCTCTCTCGCTGTCGCTCTCTCTCTCTCTCTTTCTGCTTCCCTCGCGCGGTCTGTAGAACTATTGATTAAAACCCGCTGGATTTCACTTGATGTGAATTGCTAATCGTGTCGTGATGACACATCCATTGAAATGTGGAAAGCAGCATAGGGTACACGCTGTTTTATATTGAGATCAAGCAAGTGTCCCTTGTCGACAATGGATAGATCTGTATTGTACGTGTGTGCGTACTAGTGTTGTATGTATGCCGAGGGGTGTTGTCAGTCTGTCATTTTATTGTTTTGAGCATTTGCCACTGGTTGGTAAAATATAAATTTTCGACTGCATGTGGGTACGCATACTTAGCATCATATATTATACAGTCTACAGTAAGCCAGGGTTTCTCGATATGTGCATGACATGGTTGAATTTTATACGTTTCCCTACCTATATAAAGGAGTGTGTGTGGGTTTTCTCCTGCAGACACGTGTGGGTGTAGCTATATATGAGTACAGGCACAAACATGTATGCATAGCTCTGTGTGCAGGTACTTGCATGTTATCTTACATGGACGCATAATTTATACAAAGCTCTGTGTGTGCTCACTTCATATGGAGTGGGTAAAGAGCGTTTTTGATTGATAATGATCAAGACTCTTGATAATGATGGTAATTAACACTGAGCCAAGTATATGGTCGTAAAATGAGATCATAGGCATGTTTTATGTACGTTCAAAGTATAGAAGGATGACAGTACTTCGGGAGATTGGCGAATTATTTTCACGTCAATGCGGGGTTTATTTATGCTCCATAAATATTCTCAATCACACTGCAATATTCATAAGGAAGAACTGAATATCCGCTTTTATGAATGGTCAGTGTTAGTTGCGGATTACACCGTTGATTTAGCTGAAGGATGAAAATCTTAGTTTTGAAGTCCGAATGAGCCTAACATCAGAATATTAAAAGCAATATTACTTAATAACTAAATTATTAAAATCAACAACTATAGTGCATTACGTATGGGACCGCAAGGGGACCTCTTGGACTTGCCTTGTACTCACCTCTACTCTACAAAAATAATAAATTCTAGTTCTACAGAATGAACTACTGTCATTTCTAGTAGTTCTCAACTATCTTCGCTCATGCATCCCCACTGTACTCGCCTCTACTCTCTGTCGCTAACCGCTTCGCACGCTGCGTCTTCTTGCAGAGGACATGATCAGCAACGAGAATGAAACTCTGCGAGAGAGGGTCGCCGACCTTGAGAAGAAGGTTCAAGAGCAGACGGACGACATCGTCTGCCTGCGCAGCGCCGTCGCTGACATTGTCCGCCGACTCAACAGCATGGAGGTGAACAGAGGTCAGTCGAACGCAGATGCGGGCATGGATGGAGTCCTGCGGGAATGTTTTGATCGTGGTGATCTGTGATTTAGAGGGATTTCGTGGCTCATGACTGTTTGTTTATTCACATGAAGTAGACGTAGAATATTTAATGGGGGTGTGTTTGCCTGGGTATGTAATTTTTAATGTAAGGATGTAGGGCAGTTCTGTATTTATAGTGTATTTACAGTACTAAAATTCGCAACAAAAATCACTTTTTCCTAATGGGTTTTATGTAGGCTGAATTTGGGTCGGAGTATTGGACCCGTCCACACTCCAAATAAACGTTAAAACTTAAAATTCACTATATTGACTGTATATTTTTCAAATAACAACTTTTTTGAACAAAGCTGTATCTTATTTAGTCATTTCACCAAAAACGAACCAACCAGAATTCACAAACTAGTTTTGCAAAATAAATGACAAGGTACTAGGCACAGTTACCCAGATTAACTCCTGGCTCTGTGTCAATTGGTTACAACGCTAACAACTAGTAGCGGTTTGCAAGCTTTATTATCACAAACTGATGATATATTTTCTAAATGCTTGAACTACTGCCTGACAAAACACGTTATAATACATCGACCTGCTATATAAATTGCGGCGACATGGCAAATCGGTGTGCACGCATACAACCGATTATTTCCGTGCTAGTGTTAAGGGAAGAAATGTAGCGCATCGAAATAACCTCACCGTGCTTTTCCCCCGGTCGAAGGTTCAGCTGTGGGTCCCAGCAGTTCTTCGTACGGCCGCCGCACCAACGTCAGCAGTCCCAGAACCCCCAGCAACCGCCGCGGCTCGTCGGACGCGCACACACCCTCTAGTGGCCTATATCCCGTGCATCGCAGCTCGCCGCGGCAACCCGCCGGATCGAAGGCGACGTCGAACTCGATAAAGAAGTGGGCGTCGTCGACGGAAGTGTCTCCCGGGTCTGGGACCATCACGCCGTCAAAGTAAGCGAGGTGGTCGCATCGCGCGGCGTGGGGCGATGACCCGCCGTATGATGATCATTGTCAGGGGTGGTCTAGGGTGGCAGGGAGGGCAGGGGTGGTTCCAGGATGAGAGGGTGGTCCAGGATGAGGGGGTGGTCCAGGATGAGGGGTGGTTCCAGGATGAGGGGGAGGTTCCAGGATGAGGGGAGGTTCCAGAATGGGGGAGGGCAGGGAAGGATCCAGGATGGGGGAGGAAGTTCCATGATGGAGGTGGGGGAGGTTCCAGGATGGGGGGATGAGGTTCCAGGATGGGGGAAGGGGAGCATCCAGGATGGGGAAGGGTGGGGAAGGATCCAAGATGGGGGAGGAAGTTCCATGATGGGAGGTGGGGGAGGTTTCTGGATGGGGGGCAGGAGGGGAAGATTCCTGGGTGCGTACGCAGTGATCTCCATGGAAATGTATTCCCGGTACGGTCGGACAGCTGGCACGCATGTCGATGCTCCGGGGTTGCTGCCTTAGCTGGGAAGATTATGGCCCTTTCCTGGGATAGTGACGATCCGGGAATAAACATAGTTCGTGGGAGAATGAACCCAGCTGTCGTTTTTTCGTCATTGGCCGATGTAATCGAGGGGGAGTGATGTGTTAGCTTGAGCGTATCAGAGCGAGGAAATTCGTACGCGATTAAAAATCAATAATAGCTTGATAGTCTTTTATGGTCCCGTTTATTATTCAGCTCGTTAATGGCGATGTAAATTTACATTCTTGTGATGCTGATTTCTAATGGATAATTAAACAGTTTTTGCCTGGTTTTTTTATGTATATATGACCCGCTCCAGCAAAACCAGGATTAAAAAACCAGGATTAAGTAGGAAATTCTGCAAATTGAGTTATGTACATATCTGAATAGATCATTTAATTACCTTTAAAATGATATATAATATTTGGCTATATTTAAAGAATTGACCGGTCTACAGCAATTTGAAGATCGGAAACCGACTTATTCCGGAATATGCAGCTTTTGAGATAAAGCGTTCCGGGTAAGGGGGCCCAGTCAAGAATGAGCAGTCAAAAAAAATTAAAAATGACCATAATAATCTAGAGATATCTGAACCTATATATCCGGATTAAATATGCACTTAGGAACTTATTTTTGTAAAAATCTCATTTTTTTCCAGGTAGGCTATTTTCAGCATTGACATGACTGTGTGCGTGCTCATTACTCAAAACAATGACTTGCGACTTAGTCCATATTATGCTGGAGCGGGTCACATATATGCTAATGAATGTGGCTGCGTGTGATTATGACTAGGTTCAGATTGTTTTCAAACGAAACATAACATCAAATAAACATCATGAAATAGTCAAAAGGAGATTTTTCGCCGTGGTAAGCCTCAGTGTTTGACCATCTTGTGGCCATGTACTTGTATGCTATAGAGGAAGTCAGTGAGTTCTCAATCACCCTTAGCATTCTCTGTCAGCCTACCGCGACTGTAGGAAAGTACGAAAAGCAAATATTGTCGACGAACGATTCAGGTATGTGCGTGGGCGATGCAGTTAATCCTTACTACAGGGTTGAGGTCAACTAGACACGGTCTCAATTAAATATACATAACTTAATCAACTCAATTAATTATATAGTTCATTGCTAACTTTATGTAGCATTTTCTCAACATAACTTTTATGTAGAATGGCATCATCCAACCAGCAAATCAAATCCACGTGGGTTAATACAGTAGAGGCTGTAATACAGTAGAGGCTGTCCAGGTCTCCTCTCCACGCGTGTCCTCAATTAAATATACCTCACAGCTATTCCAACATATCTTACACAGCTAGGCTGACTTAACCCTATGTAAATGTTCAAACTTTGATAAAACTTCTCAAGTTAAATTATAGATAGCTTCTTTTTAAATTACACAAAGACCACCGTGAGTAACTGATAGTGATACGAACATAAATAACTGAACAAGTGATAGATAAAATAATATGCCATGAATCTGTGGCTATCACATGAGGATTTATGTAGGCCATATACTGTTTTTTTTAGCTTTCGACCTTGGTGGAATCTCTCTTGCTATCAGTCAGCCAATCCCTGTACGTACGTGTCTGTATTTGAACTGTCAAAGAAATCCGACGAAATTTTGCTCGTATGGATGAGTTTTCGCGGGGAGTCACTGCGTACTGTACCACATGTTTATCACACATGGAATGCTCCCTCCCCCTCCCTCCCTGCCTCTCTCGTGAACGAGTGTTTACGCTATAGTGCCGTAAATAAGCTTTCAGCTGTCGTGTGCGCATGTCGTCGAGTTTTCTTCGCTCGATACTTCTCTGATTTCAGATTTTCCTAACATTTATTAGTTAGTCGCATTTTTCGTAGCTGTAGTTGTAGACGCATTTAGCTGGATGAGCTATATTATAGGCTGATTATAGCTGTGTTGACGTAGACTTCACTGATCGTTTGATTCACGTCGCATCGCATGTGCACGATCGAGATGTTCGCTTGTTTAATTTTGTCGCATGAGCGTGATCGAGATGCTCACTTGTTTGATTTTGTCGCACGAGCGTGATCGAGATGCTCACTTATTTAATTTTGTTGTACGAGCGTGATCGAGATGCTCACTTGTTTGATTTTGTCGCATGTGCGTGTGTTGTCATCGTCGTCGCTGCGCAGACGGAACGGTTCGATGTCGATGTCCGTCACAAACCTTCACGAAGCGTCGGGCCGCACCTCCGGACGCTCTTCCCCCTCACCATACTCCCGAGGGTAACCACGCCCGCTGCCACGCCCCTGCTGCACAGTTTGCTGCCACGCGCCGTTTCACCTCGTTGGGTCACGGCCGTGTATCGTTTCCGCGATTAATCGGTAGTTTAATTTTGGATTAAAGTATCGCTTGCCTGTACGAGGCTCCGCGTTTAATTCGTCGCAGCGTTCAAGTACACGTTAAGATTCATTCGAACATGTGAGGTTCTTGACCTTGCTTATCATACGTTCGTGATTCTGGGCTGGGCTTAAGTGGTAAATGAGTTTAAAGCGATTAGCTGAAATGAAATTTTATTGTAAAATGTCATCCTGAGATTGTTTAACTTTCTTGCGAACCCACAAAAATCTCATTTCGAAAAACAAAACATGGCATGTGTGTGTGTAATCTGTGCAGTGTGGAGCTAGGGTGGAACGGGTTACGAGGGAAATCAATGTATTGATTCGACCATGAACCAGTAATCGCGTCGAAATCTAATTGCTAGTAAAACGTAATAACGGTCTGTATCGCCGATAAACTTCCACACCAAGTATGCGCTTTTTTTATTATCGTAGTTCTTCGTCTTTGAATCTGTCAACGTGCATGGTAGTAACGTTTGCGTCGATGCCTCTTTAGTAAAATAGAACTGTCGCTGTTTGTGCATGCCGACTTTCTTCCTGAATGCAGTGTGCATGTTGTTTCTTCTGCGTTCATAGCCGAGCGTCCACGAGCGGGTCTACGTCCAACCTATCGGAGGCAGGACGTCGGTCCCCTGCCACATCCCCTACGTTTAGAGGGTATGCATGCATCGCGCCACTCGTCACGGCGTTCACCATGAGTCACGCGCCTGTATCTACGAGGCGCCAAATGGCGTATAATTAGTGCACAGGCACTTGGAGCGTCTCAATAAAAAAAAGAATGCTAAACAAACACGAAATGTATTTACTACCAAAGTCTTAATGTTTCTCTACTTTCTTTCGTCTATTATTGCTGATAATTTCTTGTAAATGATGTGCAAATGCTCCTCTGCAACACACAAGTACACCGCAAGCACGCCATGCACATTTGCACTTATATATATAGTGTACTATATATATACGATATATACACATAGTATCAGGAGTAGATAATAGAAGATTCTATAGATTCTATAGATCTTCTATTATCTACTCCTGATAGTATCTATATATACATATATATATATATAATAGGAAATTATCGGAAATAATAGGCGAAAGAGAGTAGAGAAACTTTAAGACTTAGGTAGTAGATACATCTCGTGTTTATTTAGCATTATTATTTTTAAGTGTTACGTAGCACATCAGTGCTGGCTGAGGTGTCTGTGAGAATGTAGGACATGGTGTGCGTACGTAGTAAGTGCATCGTACGTTGCTCGCCTCGACTATGTTACACATAGGTGGCAGCACGGTTGCAGCAATTTTAATTGAATAATTAATTATTATAAGTGATTTGGCTTCCTGTTGATATGACTGACAGGTTTGTGTCAGCTTGCCCCTCTGTGAGGATCCGTGTGGTACCTCTCACATACATTATATCAGAAGTAGATCTGATTATATGTGCAGAAACAGCTCACTCCAGTGTACATGTAGGCGGGCAGGATAATATACACTCAGCCACCATGTCCTATATATTCTCGCTAAGCAGCTTGCTGCTCTTACAGTGTTGAGCCGATTACGTCTTTGAGTAATTGTCACAGTTGCACTTGTGCAGGAAATAAATCTTTTGCCAAGTGTAACTGTGCCGGGTGGGTCGTTTAGAATAGTGTGCAGTGCTCTATATAGCAGCAAAATGGAAACTGGAGCATGGCATCAAGTGCAGTCACTGATTGTCAAGTACACTCCCCTTAAGTTCCTCTCTTCCTCTCCTTTAACTGTATTGGCATTTAGGCATATGCCTGCAGAAAACATGAAGCTTCCAAGTGGATTTCTCGCTAACGAGTTTGTGACCAGCGTGTATGCTTGCTTACGCGTGCTAGATGTACATGTAGCTGTGGCTGCGCGCGCTCGCATGGCTAGCTGCTGATTTTACTTTATTTTTGCAGAAGTGCAATGTTTCGACAGTTCTCCACGCCAGTCAAAGGGTCAGTACTAATGAGCGAGCGAGTCTACCTCCCGTACTCGCTCCAGAACTATAGCCCTCCGCTCTGCCACAGCGAAGGGCTATAGTTTTCGAGCTACTCCCGTACCAACCTCCGCTAGTGCCTCAACGTGTTATTAGTGGTGCACGTAGTTCCCCCCCCCCCTTGTTAGTCGGCTGCCCTACGGCGGTGTCACACACACACATGCTGGTCATAGTTGACTGAGCATTTTTGCGTAGATGAACGATGCAGGCATGTGAAGAGGTGGAAACTCTTAGCAGAGCTAGTAGACTTATGCTAGCCGCACACTATACGATTTTGTGCGAGCCGCAGTCATAAGCCCTCGCACACTATACGACCTGCTCCCGATCGATCGGGAG